AGTAATTTCCCTTCATGATGTTGCTCCAAGTTCCAAAGTGATTCTCTTTATGTAATTGTAACTTGCCTTATTTTCCACATAGTCTGCAATTGAAAGGACAGTTTGACTGGTACAATATGACATGTCTAAAAACAAAGAAAATTTGGAGAGAATATTAAAAAATAGGCAGCCCAGCACTTCCATATATATTTGAAATATAAATTAAATCTTCCTGATACACAGGGCAGCGCACTCTAGGTTGTGGGTGGGCTTACCTTTTAGGACTCGAGAGCTTTGGGTTGGGGTAGCATTACAGCATAGGTACACTAAGTTACCTAGCACATACATTTTAACGCCAAATCTTTATCTTAGATTTTTTTTGTGACTCTGTGGTCATAGGACGACTACTGCATGTTCCATAGGTAAGGGGTTTTCTATTAGGTTACTCTATTTAAGATGGGAGCACTAGGTGTTTAGCACCCTTTCACCACTTTTTTATTTACTTTTGCTTGGAGTGTCTTATTTTAATTTTTTATTAGTGATATACTGATAGGCTTTATCTTTAGCCTTGAGGGACAGTTTAGAACCCCCATGAAGGTGTTGGTTTAAGCTATTTAGGGTATAATAGCTCAGTGGCTTTCTCTCTTTATTCTCTAATGCTGAAGCTAGGCTTTTGAGGAGAACCTTTTTGTTTTAGGAGGCTTCATTACTTTTTAGCCTCTAGGGACAGATTACAACACCCACCAAGGTGTTGCTTTCAACTAACTTAGTGGCTTCTTTTTTCTCCACTCCCTAATTTAAAGCCAGGTATTAGAAGAAAACCTGCCCTTTCACATGGGAATCAATATAAGATTAGGTGAATGATTGACTACACCTCTCTATCCTGTCCTCTATACACATATTTGTTTAATTCACTGCTTTCAAATGTATTACCTTTCAATGTTTAGATCTGTTGATCCAAGTCTTGAATCATTTACTCTCTGTTAGGGATTAGACTCCCCTTGCTATATACAGATCAGTTACGTTTAAATTGATTTTGGCAGTGTATTTACATATATAGATGATCAGTATATCCTCTTGATCCAACCATTATTTCAGTTATATAGTGCCTTTAATTTTTCAATAAATTTATTACCCTCATTTCCTTTTTCTTTTTTTAACTCTATAAGGCACTTCGAGGAAATATATAATGATTGGGTCTATTATTATCCTCAATCTATGTACATTCCAAGCATAATTTTCAGATTTACTACCATCACTTGTTAGTTTGCTTACTATGGACTTTGTATCAAAACCCGGTTTAGAGTCACTTTAATTTAGAGACTCTTAGGAATTATATTATTTTATTTTTGTTAAGTTCCCTCCTTTAACTCACAGAAATCCTTGCTGTATCCATAAAGCATAGATATGTAGGATGTTACACAAAATACAAATGTATGTAAATATATACTTAACATGAAACCATGATGAGAATAAAAAATAAAAAGTACCAATATGACAGGACTGTTTATTAACTCTTACCAAACTTGGCTATGTTGTCTTGTGGAAAGTTCTCCCTATAAACCAATGGCAAAGGGTTGCTTTGGACTTGATCTTGAACACAGACTTGCATTGTCTCAACGTTTCCATCAATTAATCCATTACTGTATTCCACCTCTTTCTGGAGGCTTGGATAGAAAACATCACTATAGTAAAATTAAGACATGGAAAAGACCCTCAACAGTAAATGAGAAGTATACATTATGAGAAATAAATGAAAAATACTAAAAGTGTCATTATTTTTTAATATATTTCCTAAACAGATTTATTTGAATACTAAGCTAAACCAAAAATAATTTGCCAAATGCACTTAAAGGGGCAGTGTTTATACTATACCAGCTACGATGGTCCCTGTCTCCTATTAACTACCTACGGTCCATAAATTAGTCACAGACAATACATTTATTTGGTAAATGTAGTTTGCAGGTGTCTAAAGAGTTGTCTAGAGAATTGTGGTCTCTAATAATCATGATTAAAGGGTTCCCACAATCAAAAAATGTGCATTAGTAAAACACTGTTTTTGGTTAGAGTAACCACTCAGAGAGAGGGCAGGCTGAGGGTATACTTTACCACCTAAAGAATATTCATTGCATATTTAAATTTGCTTCAGTCTGTAATATTATGTTCCACACAGACTGATGTGTACAGCAGTGTTCCCAAGCACAGTCATCAAGCCACACCAATTGTCCAGTATTTAAGCATTTCACAATTCAGTTCCAATTAGAATCTGACAAAATATGTGCTTTACCTTGAGGACTGGAAAGGTAACCAGTCATTTTGTCCTGGTTTGTTGCAAAATTAGAAGCGCATTCAGACTGGGTGTTTTGCCTACGTTTGGATCAACAGCAAAAACATATGCGAGTAAGGCTGAACGCAAGTGGACTTGATGGACGCAAGTCTCTTTTCAGCTATGTAACTATGTGATTTGCTCCACTGTGTTAAGGGTTTATATACTCTACATGGACAAACGTATTGGGACACATGGCCATTACATTAATAGGGATTTTTATGACATCGCATTCTAAATACGTAGATAGTTGGTCCCCCATCTGCAGCAATAACAGCTTCCACTCTTCTGGGAAGGCTCTCCACAAGATTTGTTCTAGTGTTTTTGTGGGAATTTTTGCCCATTTATTAATTATAGCATTTCTGAAGTCAGACACTGATTCTGGACAAGAAAGAATGGCTCGCAATCCCTTTTCTAATTCATCCCAAAGGTGTTCGATGGGGTTGAGGTCAGGACTCTCTGTGGGCCAGTCAAGTTCTTCCACACCAAACTCATCCAATCATGTCTGGAATAGAAAAGGGCCTTCCCCAAACTGTTCCCACAAAGATTGAAGCAAAGCTTTGTCCAAAATGAATTTGTATGCTAAAGCATTAAAGGGACACTAGAGTCACCAAAAGAACTACAGCTTAATGTAGTGGCTCTGGTGTATACTGCCTGTCCCTGTAGGCTTTGTAATGTAAACACTGCCCTTTCAGAGAAAGGGCACAATGTGCAGCACTGACATTCAGCGTCTCCACGCTCTGAAAGTTTAATTATTTCTGTCACAGGGGAAAAGCGAGGGCAGAGCAAGCCGCGAGGAGTCCTGCACGGAGCTGGAATAAAGGTGAGTAAATCACCTTTTTAACCAGGGACAAGGAGGGCCGGCCACCTAAAATGCAATCTTAGAGTCAAAGTGTCAGGAATACATGTTTATTATTACTAACACAATAATGTTCCTTTAAGCTTTCTCTTCACTGGAAGACCAATCCCTAAAAAAAAAAAAAACAGCCACATACCATTACCCATTCTCCACCAAACTTTACAGTTGGCACAATGCAGTCAGGCAGGTAATGTTCTCCTGACTAAAAAGACATGCTATAACTGCCAGGATTACAATTGATCCAACACACAGTATTAGTATCACACTTAGGAATAAGGATAATGTCTAACCGGACCTTAGAATGGCTGGACTTAACGTACCAGAGAATAGTCGAAATACTAGCCGAGGTCAGGAACACAGAACGAAACACAGTTGCAAAGAAAAGTCAATAGTCAGGGACACCAGAATTCAGGAAAGTCAGAACGAAGCCAAAGTCAATAACCAAAGAAACACGATCAGGAACACACTCTCGGATAACCAGCAAAGGGAAAGCACGACAGGGCAATGAGTAGAAGAAATGAGTGAGTGAGAGGAGGCGGAGAGGAGGAGGAGAGCTCCCCGCCCGGCGCTGGAGAAAGAGGTAAAGAGGGCACTATAGTGCCAGAAAAACGAGTATGTTTTCCTGGCACTATAGTGGTCCTTTAAGCACTTACCTTTCTCCAGCGCCGGACTCCCTTGGCGCTGGGGATTTCTCCGCCCCGATCCGCCTCTCATCTCTGAATGCGCATGCGTGGCAAGAGCCGCACGCACATTCAAACCGTCCATAGGAAAGCATTACTCAATGCTTTCCTATGGACATTCAGCGTCTTCTCACTGTGATTTTCACAGTGAGAATCGCAGAAGCTCCTCTAGCGGCTGTCAATCAGACAGCCACTAGAGGCTGGATT